CCCCCCCCCCCCCCCCCCCCCCCAACCCCCCAACAGGCGCAGCGTTGCTCTGGAGCCCGAGAGCGAAGGAGTCCAGGCCGAGCGGGAAAAGGAGGCGGCTCTGTAAGTCCACACCTGGGGGGGTGGGGGGGATCTGGCTCCAAATCCACTCAACAGTTATTCAGAAACAGAAGATAATTCTTTAAATTCAAAAACATGTTTGTTAAATAAAAATATGTATTTTTAATGAAGTGATGTCACCGTGTTGGTTATCATCCTCTGATAAAACAAACACCCGAACAAATTCATTTTATTTATATATTTTTCTAAACATGACAAGAACCTGAACACGTTGAGCTTCAGTCCACGTCACTGAAGACTCCCGTCATTCTTTTTCTGGTTTCTCTTTAAAAAGCTTTAAGCTGCTAAATGTTGGTGTTCATCTCCGTCCTGTCAGTCACGACGTAGTGTGGGAACATGTTGGCAGCGATAACACACCCAGCAGGCCAAATACTTATCCAGCATAACTCCAGCTGTTGTGTGAAGGACTCAGAGGTTTCAGAAGAACGTGGTCTTACGTGACACCATGTGAAGTAGTTCATGTATGAAACTTTTCCAGACAGATGTTGTGTTTGTGGTGCAGATGTTTGGAGTTCCTGCTTCAGAGCGGAGCGACGGCCTCGCTGAAAGACAAGCAGGGCTACAGTCCTGTTCACTACGCTGCAGCCTTCGGACACCGGCACTGCCTGGAACTGGTCAGACCCCCCCCCCCCCCCCACACACACACACACACACAGTTTAACACGTCACTTTAGTATTTAAAACTTAACTAAGGCTGCTGAGCAGCAGACATCAGCTGCTCCGTGTTAGGAATGTTAACATGTTCGGCTGATAGTCGATAAGTAGCCGAAGAATCCAAACTTAAAACACTGGAGCCAAAACAGAGAGAGCAGGAAATTAAAAGATGGACCTAAGGACAAACAACAACAACAACAAGTAGGTTTCTGTTGTTTTAGTTAATAAACAGACGGATAGACGGATGAATAAATGAATGGACAGATAAAGGATGAATGAACGGATGTATGTATGTAGGTCAAGTACTCAGTATACTGTGTACTTTACTAAGGTCAAGTACTCAGTATACTGTGTACTTTACTAAGGTCAAGTACTCAGTATACTGTGTACTTTACTAAGGTCATGTACTCAGTATACTGTGTATACTGTGTATGACTAAGGTCATAAGCGGGTCGTGGACTCTATAAGCGGGTCATGGACTCTATAAACGGGTCATGGACTCTATAAACGGGTCGTGGACTCTATAAGCGGGTCGTGGACTCTATAAGCGGGTCG